CTCGGCGGTGCCCGGAGCGGCGGAGCCAGGGCAGCCGCGGGCACCGCGCGGCCTCGCCGCTCCTCCGAGCCCCGTGCGGCGAGACCCCCTGGGCCCGGCGGGGCCGCGGGACGGCTCGGGCGGGACGGCGCTGAGCGCAGCGCCGGGGGCAGCGCGGGGCTCGGGGCTGCCCGCCACACGTGCCCGCCCAGCGCAGCCCCCCGCTCCTCCGGCCCCCGGGGTGACCGTGAGCCGGGCGGTAATCCCCCGGCGGGAGGGCTCAGATCCCCGCGCCCGGGGTGCCTGTGATGATCCTCGTGCTCGGCGATGCTCCCACCGGGCCCCCCCCACACATTCCCACTGTTTCCCGGGATGAGCACGATGGGGTGTCCCAGGCTGTGTTTGGTGTAACTGGGGTGTCAGGCTCCTGCACAGAGCCTTTTCATCCTTCCCCGAGTGTGCACACACCCTTTGTGTCAGATTCCTAAAGCCAGTCAATCCTGAGGTTGTCCCCAGCCTCCTGCCCATCTGCAGAACCCAGGTGTCATTTCAGAGTGCTGGTATCACATCATTTCAGCTTTTCCTCCCCGACTTCAAGATAGGCTCAAGGGCCACATCCAAGTTACTGGCTGGCTGCCGCCAACCTGCAGGCACACACACAAAATTCCCTTCATTCCTCAGAGAGGGGGGAAATTAGCTGCTCCACTCCTGCCCTGCCCTCGGAGGCTGCAGGGGACTGTGCTGGCATGTGGAGACACGCTCAGGTCCAGAGTTAATCACCCACACGAGCCACCCAGGTCTGTCTCACTGCCCATGTTAGAAGGGATGTGGTGCATTAAGACAACCCTGTCAGGTTTCGTGTCCAGCCCATGGGGATGAGATGTGGCAGAAGGTCTGCTGGGTTTGGTTTAGGCAGCATACTCTGGGAGAGCTTCCTGCTGAACAAGAGTTGAGGAAGCAATTTCAATCACATGGAACAAGCAGATAAACAAACAAAAGGAAAACAAGAAAGGAAATTGTAGGGAAATAGACACAAAGAATGGCAGACTATTATGGCTGGAAATTTTCTAAGTGTTCATTGAAGTCAAAGACTTCTTATCCTTAAACATTTCACTTCCCTTACAAGCATTTTCTCTGAAGATCCCTGAATATTTTGCAAACGCCAAAGTTACTTGAAAGCTCAGAAAACAAAAAGGGACAAACAGCAAGTTTTTCAACTGTGAACTGTGTAAAGGGTATTAAAGGGATTATTTTTTTTTTTCAGCCTTAAATGATTTGCAAACTCAGCCTGAAAAAAAGTATCTCCCCTGGGAACAGCATTCCGAGGCCATACTAACCTCCGCCAGAGGAGATTCATGCACAAATCATTGAGCAAAAAGCCAGCAATGAGTAATCAAAGGCACGCACCAAACTCCAAGAACAATCTGCAGAATCCACAATCTCAAGCGGTAAAATTTTCCACTGAATAATTTCTTCTGAGAAAAAGGAATTTGTTGAATTCTAGGTCTGGCATGTGTGAATACTTTTCTTTTTTTTTTTTTTTTAAGAAAAAACGACTCACTGAAAACAGAAATCTGCTCAGAAAGATACTGAGATTTATTAATACCAGCTTTGCCATTTTACATGAGTATCAGGTAGCTTTTTTTCTTGCCTGTCTTCTGTTTGCAAACACAAAGGAAACCAATTCCTTTCCTGCGTGCTTTAAGCTACAGGCTCTTCTTCAGCACATCTGTCAGAAAGCAGTTCAGCGGCTTTCCTCCGCATTGTTTCCAATTTATTAATCAACACTTCCAGCTCCCTACTGAGTTACAGCCACATTATGGTCCCCTTGAAGTCCATGGCAGCACTTCCACCAACTTCATTAGGACCAGAAACTCGCTCTTGAAGTCTCTGCCAATTCCTTAAGTGCTTTAACTTCAGCGTTGGAGATTTCTGTTTTAATCTTCCTACGCCTGTTTCTGACACATCATTTTACATGTGTGCATGCACCAACTGCCCTTCTTGAAACTAAAAATGGCCTTAAAAGCAAATGGAAAAGCTTGGGTTTTTTGTTTTGGTTGTTTTTTTTTACCTGTGAATGATGCAACTGGGACCCTGAATGTCTGTTTGCCATGGCTGTTAGAGGAGAGATGCCATCTTGAGGCTAGAGAGCCCCAACTGCAGACTCTGCTCCATATCAGGCAGACAGCTGGGGTTCAGCCTGCTGCAGGGGGAATTTTGGCCTCTTCCAGTTTCAGTCTCTGTTTCAAGGCCACCAGTAAGGCCACAGGTCCATGGCTCATGTGAACAGCCATGGAAACAGTGATATTTGAGCACCAAAAATTCCTTCTTGTGGGAAGCCCAGAGCTGGGGCTTTCGCAGGTCAGGCCAGTCACTTCCCACTGACCCCGCTCAGCCTGAACAAGTTTAGCCCAAGGCCAAAGCCCGGCAGGAGAAGATGTTAGGAGCAGCATTCCCGTTTCCTTGCCCTTTTTGTTTAGTCACCAGCTGAGTTATGAAATCCGCCTGCAGCGTCACCGTGTCTGTGGGTTTCCCATGGGCTGGAGAGGCTATTACCAAGGAGCAGCTGGAATGTTAATTACCCATTAAGGAACTAAATCTGGGGGATTTCTCAAAGCAAATACACATAATTTCTGGCACTAACCCCACAGTGGCCTGAGCATCCTTCCCAGCCAGGCTGGAGGATGCAATCCCTCCTGGAAGCCCCTCCCTTCTCATCCGCGCCAGGGAACGCTCTCAGCACTGTCCTCAGCAGCAGGACAGCCTGGCTGGGGCTGGCATTCGAGCCCCAGGAACATTTTACAGGGAAGGCAGCTCCCTTGCAGACACACCAGAACTAGCACAAGGCAAAGTGAAAGGGAAGAATGTGTCCCAGGGAGTGGAGAAAGCTCCATCCTGCCCAGAGGCTGGAGGGACCGGGAGCAGTCTGTCTCCCAGCAACCTCGGGGTTGAGGGCAGCACAGGATTTTGAGCCAGTGGGTTAATTCTTTTAGCAGCTCATATGGTTATTTCAGCCTGTTGCCCATAAGTGGAGGTCTGTCTCTGCCTCTGGCCTGCATCTGTTCCAGGGGAATATCCATAGGCTTGTACAGTCCTCTTGGAGGATTGTCACAGGCAGAGCTGCACACATGGCTCCGTGGGGACAAACCCAGCCTGCCTGGCTGCCTGTGTACCCCTCACCATCCCCAGGCTCCTCCTCAGACCGGGCACCCACAGCACACGTGCCCTGACACAGGCTGACCTCTGCAGCACTCCCTGCTGCTGACTCTTTCCTTCCCCTTTCCTCCAAATCAGGCCACAGCCGCTGGCACTGGAGCTCCCGGCTGGAATTACAGCAGCTCTGCCAGTGTGCATTTTAAAAGCCTCTCCTTCAATATTCAAACAGGAAGATCCCTGATGCAGTGGCAAAAGTGTATCGAGCACAGGAGCAAGTGAAGGTGTTCCACGGGGTCAAGACCGGGGTTACAGTGGCATCCCTGAGCACAGAGAGCTTTCCCAGGGAAAAAATCCCAGCACGGGTGGGGGCGGTGCAGTGAGACAGGGAGCCTTAAGGACCAAACCTCTTTTCCCTGGTGGCAGCCCAGAGGTTTGCATCCTGGAATGCTTGCCCAAAGAAAGGAAAAGTATGGGAAATCTGGATGAGCAATACGGGCAAGCGGATGCCACCCTAAAACCACACAGCACCGCACAGCTGCAGAGGAGACAGACATGAGAAGGGAGGCAGAAGTTTCTGACGGGCCAGCACCAAATACTCTCAGTCATGCAGAGGTGCTGGACCCTCCCTGCAGATGTTTCCAGGCCTTTGGATGTGCAGCCTCACTAGCAGTGCTGTTTTAAGGAGCCTCCCTTGTCCAGCTGCTCCTCCTCCATCAGCCCAGCTCTGATCACAGTTCTGGGCACAGATCTGAAGTCTGTCAGGCGTTCCCACGCAGGGACCCACGGGTGCTCCTGCTCTGTCACTCACACCCAGCCCATGGGGCTCAGAGCTCTCTGTCTCCCAGAGGCAGCTCAGCACCAGGTGAAGCAGCTGGAAGCAGGGCAGGATGATGCCCAGGAAGCATCTCATCCGCACTATAAACTCAATTTCATTGTGCCTCTGTTCTGAAGTTTTTTGATGTTCCCCATCCTTACTCTCCTGAGCACTTTTAAGATCACTTGGAAACAGAAAATACTGCCTTGTTGGACCACCTCCATGTAAAAATTTACAAATTGACATTCTCTTTGTCGAGGTGGAACAAACCTCCCCTGCCACAGCTCAGGGAGGTGTTCCTGCACCATGGCTCACGGTTCACAGCTGCAGTCTGCTTCTCCCATCAGCTGCCAGAGCTCCTGAGAGACTCACCGGGACTGAAACCTCTCCCATCAGCTCCTTGACAACAATAAGCCACTTACACATATTAAACCACCGCATACATCCTCTTAAGGGTGAATTCCCCAGCACCTCCTCGCAGTCAGGGCTCCGACCTGAGCTCGGGGCAGGGACAAGCAGCTGCCTGGAGACCCCCAGGAGCCCTCACCGTGCTCAGCCACCTCAGCGCAGTGAGGGGGAAAGGCCTGCGCCCCAACAGGGCTCTAGCTGAGCCGGGGCAGAGCCGGCTGCAGCGGCGTAGCCGTGGGGAAGCAGGATGCTTGCTGGAATTACACGCATTTCCCTCCAGTTGTTTTTTAAAGCGGTTCGTTTCCAAAGCTCTCCCGAGCCGGCTCCGTCTGGAGCGCAAACATCCTCCGAACCCGCCGCCATCTTGGGGAGGGGCGCGGGGGGAGGCCGCCGCCATCTTGGGGAGGTCGGGCCGGCGGGAGAATTGCGTGCGGGGAGAGGCGGCCGCGCCATCCCGGGGAGATCGGCCCGGCCTCGGGAGAGACGGTCACGGTTTGGCCCGGCCCGGAAGGATCGGGACTGGGATCGAGACACAGCCCTGCGGCAGCGGACACGCCGCCTCCCGCCATCCCTTCCGGGTGAGGCGGTGACCCACGCCCCCTGACCCCGCCGCTTCCTTTCCGCGGCAGCCGCCGGAGCAGACGGGCAGGTGAGTCCGGGCCGCGCCGCATCCGCCGCCATCCGCCCGCCCGCGCCTCGCCGCGGCCTCCGCGCCCGCCGCCCGCCCTCGCGGGACCGGGGCTGCGCGGGGCTGCGCGCTCGGCGCGGGGGAGGCTCGCTCGGCGGAGCGCGGCCATGGGCCGCGGGCAGCCGCGGGCTGGAGTAGCGGAGCGCCCGGCTGGGGCTGCTGGGCCCCGGGCCGGCCCTGCCCCGGACCCTGCGCGGTCGGGGCCGCGGTGAAACGCGGCGCGTTCGTCGCTCGGAGCTCGATGCGGGCGGTACAGCGTGTGCTGCGTGTTCCGAGCCCGCCTCGCTGGGCTGGGAGAGCGCTGTCCGTGGAGCCCGGCGCCATGGATGTGTCGGGGAAGGGATGTGGTGCTGTGGAAGTGGCCGCGCAGACACTGATGTAAATCGATGTTACAGTGCTCAGGGCAGTCGGTGGAGAGCGCACGACCGAGGGTGATCGTGGGTTGTGTTGGGGCTGGGTACCTCGGCGCAGTGCTGACATCTCCCTTGTGCAAGGCGCCGGCTGTGGCAGGAATTGGGCAGGAGAGGGCAATAAGGAACCGTGCCCTGTTTTTCTGTGCTTGGGAGTGGATGCACAGGACCCCCGGCCATCAAACCGAGCACGGCCGAGTGCTGCCCTGCTGTCTCCCATCACTGGGTGTGGGCTTCGGGGGCAGGAGACTTAGCTGGGCTAGTCCTAAGGATGTGGTTGGGGGCTAGTCCCAAGGATGTGGTTGGAAGACCAATAATATGGAAAAACCCAAGCTGGTACTTAAAAGTTCTGCAGACTCGGGGCTTACTGACAATAGTAGGTCTGTGTATTTGTTTGGTTTGGTGTTTCCTTTCCTAAACCCACATAAACAATTGGAAGTGCTCAGCTCATCATTGCTGTTATCAAGGAAATGAGCTCCCTTGTGCACTGCTGTGATGGGACTTGGGGACGTCGGCTGCCATGAAGTGCAGCAGGAGAGACTTCACTAAACAGCTGTAGGTGATGACCTGTGTGCCAGGATACAGCAAAGCTGGGAATGATGGGGTTTATAAGAAATGGACCAGTGTTTTGCCAGTGGCAACTCACTTTTCTTGCTTGGTAAAAGGTTGAAATAGCAGGAATTTCATAAAATTTTTTAACAATGCTGAGAAACTGCCAACACTCATACATCTCTTTTGTTGTTCAGAAATGGCTCCTCGTAAGGGCAAGGAGAAGAAGGAAGAGCAGGTCATCAGCTTGGGACCCCAGGTTGCCGAAGGAGAGAATGTGTTTGGCGTCTGCCACATCTTTGCCTCCTTCAATGACACTTTTGTCCACGTGACTGATCTGTCTGGCAAGTGAGTATGGGACAGGCATCACCTCACTGCATACCCAGCTCCTTCGGGTGTGAAAGCAGAAACTGGGTTTGGCAGGAGGTTCCTCCAAATCCTTGAGTTTCTGCTGAGCTTCATGCATGGTGCACGTACATGAACTGGGTGGCTTGGTGAGCTCTTCTGATCAAGATGGTGTTCAGGGTACTGTGTGGCTTATTGATCTGATAACATTGGAAATAATAGGTTCTGGCCTGGGGGAAGAACAAGGAATGGCTTTCTTTTAACATCACCTTTTCCTTCTGTAGGGAAACCATCTGCCGTGTGACCGGTGGCATGAAGGTGAAGGCAGACAGAGACGAGTCCTCTCCCTACGCAGCCATGCTGGCAGCCCAGGACGTTGCCCAGAGGTGCAAGGAGCTGGGCATCACTGCCCTGCACATCAAGCTGCGTGCAACTGGGGGCAACAGGTACAGCAGGAGAGCTGGGCACTGATGGGGACGTGGCTGTAGGGGCTGATGGTGAATGTGTGTGGAGCACAAGGTTTGGCCTGGGGAAAGTGTGGCTTTCGTGTTCCTGGCTGTTTGTAAGCTGTGTTCAGCTTCTGGGTCGTTAAAAGGGTTGTTGGTTCTGGCTCTCCTCCAGGACCAAGACTCCTGGACCTGGTGCCCAGTCAGCCCTGAGAGCTCTGGCCCGCTCTGGAATGAAGATCGGCCGCATTGGTGAGTGAGGAAAGAAGGGATTATTTAGTGAAATTGCCTTTGTAGGCATCTGTGCTGCTTGATCTTAACTTTGGGACTTGCTTCGTGGCCGCTTAGATGGCACCAGTGAAAGGATTCCATGTAAACAGATTCTTAAATTGACCAGTAGGTGGTGAGAGCAGCACTCAGAACCAGGTTTCTGTATGCAGGGCAAACCCCAGCTTGGAGCAGGATGCTGCTGCTCCTCTGATGTCATCCTAAAAATACCTTGTTGGTCTCGGTGATTCAGTTATAATGGAGTTCTCCAGCTGTTGTAGGGAGAGTCCTGAACTTTGTGGGGAAGTCACAAGATGCAGTGGTGGTGGTTGTGCTGAAAATTCTTTGAACATCCTGTGTTTCTTTTGAATTGCTTTGGCTGCTTGATTTAGGTGGGATGGGAGATGGGAATTTTTGCAAAGTGTTAAAGCCCTGGGTACCCAGCCTCTGGCAAGTTCCCAAATACCTTCACGAAGAATTCCCTGTGCACATGTGCAGCTCCTGTGGCGTCCAGGTTCTGAGGTGCTGGGTGATGGTTGTGCTCAGGCAGTTTCTGGGGGTGCCTCTGGGGGTAACTGTGTTCTGGATTTTCTCCCTGCAGAGGATGTCACCCCCATCCCCTCCGACAGCACTCGCAGGAAGGGTGGTCGCCGTGGACGTCGTCTGTAACCAGTGCAGCACCTTCTGTTATTAAAGCTCTCTTAAACCTCTGTTTAGCTCTGTGTTTTCTTACTGGGGCTTCAGTTCATTCCATCCACAGATGGCTTGTGCCTCTGGAGCAGGGCCTCTGGCTTGGAGGGCAACCAGGATGGTTGATCCAAAGCCACAGGGGTCTTGGGCTTCATATAGTAAAAACTGCTTTTAAAATGAGTCATGACCTCTTATATCTCCTGGAAAACAAAGAACAAAGCCCAACAAGCAACTGCTGCTGGGCTTTCTGCAAAATGTTGCTTAATGCATCGCTTCCCCTTTCTGTGGAAAAAGTCCTCTCTCTGCCTGGATATCTGTTCTAAGCCAGCATTTCCCTTGGCTCAGCCATAGTGTTTTATTTGTTATTTTATATGTGGCCATGGAAAATGTTAGAATAAACTTTCCTTACTATCTTAAACGTGCACCACTTGCCATTCAGATCACTTTTCCTGTACTTAAAGTGGTGGTTGGACTCCCTGTAGAGGAGGTGTCAAAAACATGAAACCAGAAGCAGCTCAGCCAACATGGAGCTGAGGGAGGGGGCAGGACAGAGGAGAGAGCAGGGAATGGGACACTTACCAACAGCTCCACTCTGGTTTTTGATAGGCTTTGCAAGCTGTGAAAGCTGTTGCTGTACTCCTCAGCCACGCAGGCACAGGGTGGGCTTTTCCTCCAAGTAGTGGTGGGTGATTAAAAAGGACCACGGTGGCAAACAGGAGTGGGGCATGGCACGGTAATGCAAGCAGGCAGAGTTGCAGGTTTCCTCCTGTTGGTGAGGTTTTTAGTTTGTTGCAATTTTGTTGGTTGGTTGTTTTTGGGTTTTTTTGTTAGTAATGGTTTTTACGCCATGAAAAGCCACAGTATTACAAGATTGGATGTGGCACTCAGTGCCATGGTTTAGTTGAGGTGTTAGGGCTGGGTTGGACTCGATTTTAAAGGTCTCTTCCAGCCTAGGGATTCTGTGTGTTCCATGTCAGTTACTCTGTCCCAGGAGACATCACCATGTCTCTTTCATGGAGCACATTTGGGCTGAGCTCTACAGCAGAAATCCAAACAGGATCTTTACTGCAGCACAAACTCAGCAGACTTGGTGCAGGGGGAGCTGTTTCCACTCACTCCCTCTGCTGCCCACCCTGGTCCAGGCTGGTTCAGCCCTGCTAGTTTATACACCAGATGTAGAAAGGGGAAGGTGTTTGCTCCACAGGAAGGTGGTTTTACTCTATTAACCCTTAATCCTTGGGAGCTGGAGCCATGCAGGTGCACACAGGGCTGGCTGAGCTGAGTCACTGTGCACCCAGCCTGTGCCACGTGCTGCCCTGGCAGTGCTGTGCCATGGAAAGCTGGTGCCTGGGCTCACTGCACAATTAAAGGTAAAAATTGCTTTGATTTCTCAGCCGACCTGACGTCTTTGAAGCAGCTTCCTGTGTTGATGCATAACCCCAAAGAGGAAATGATGAATGAGGAAGAGAAACCGAAGCCCCAGCAAAGGGCAGCTTCCTGGCCCATGTCCTGGGGCTTTCTGGAGGGAAAGGCCCTCCTGTAGAGTGGCGTGGATGGGTCTCCTGGCTCTTGACAGTCCTTGGCCTGACCCAACTGGCTTGTCTTGAGTGATTCAGTGAGGAGCTGAATCACCTGCACCCCCTGTAGCTGTCGCTGGGTGATGGCTTCTGGGCTGTGTGAGTGGGGACGCTCTGCCTGCCCACCCTGTGTCACCCCAGCAGGGATGCTCATCCTGTGCAGGGCATGGGGCTGTTCAGGTGCTGTGCTCCCTCCCCAGACACACTCAGTGGTCACTGGTGAGCCCTGTGGCTCAGCCTTTCTCCTCAGGTTTGCCCAGGGCTGATCCTGTGCTGATCCAGGGCTGAGGGTGTCACCTCGGCATCGGTGGGAAATGTGGGTCTGTTCCCCAAAACTTTGTGCGGGGTCTGGGGGCTGAGAGCTGTGAGACAAGGCCCAGCTGGTGATGAATGTCTTCCTGTGAATGCTGACTGGGTTATTACACCTCACTGCCTGAAATAATTGCTCTGCTGGCCTGGTCCTCATCAGAGTCCTGAAATCACTCCTTGCTCCAGATGGCTTTTTTCCCCAAAAAAATACTTTGTGAGTTTTTGATGGATAGCACCAAACACAAAGCCTTGGGGTAACAGGGTGGTGACAATTCATTGCCAGCCTCAGGCAATGGGAGAGTGAGGACGGTCAGACAGGATGGAAGCTGCTCTCTTAAAAGTGTCTTTGTCTTCCCTGGAAAATCAATTCACAGACTGAGAACATACTGGGTGTCACAGCCCTGGGCAGAAAGTTGTGTATGAAGCATTGAAGAGCTGACTGGAAATGTCTGTGTGTGGAGCAGGGGCTGGCTTGGGGCTGACGTTGCTCCTCCAGGCTGGGGCTGGAGGGGCTCAGCCTGCCTGGGAAGGGGCTGTTCCACACCCCCGGGTTATCACACACGTTTGTGGTTTGCACAGCCGGCCCAGCTCCATGGAATCGCTGGGGTTTCATTTGTGAAGTTCCTGTTCAGATTTTCTCTGGTTCCCCTTATGGCTGAGGCTGGTCACGGAATGCACCAGGAGCATGGCCTCGAGCAGGGATTGTGGCCCAAAATGAAGAGCTGAGTGGGGCTGGGGCTGTGAGGAAAACCAGTGTGTTCCCCGAAAGTCCCAGTGTCCATGAGGGGAGAGACAAAAAATGTATGGAAGGCTTTTGTGTTCTTTTCTCTTCCCCTTTTCTTACTTCTCTTTCTTCCCTTTTCTCCCAGTCTCCTCTCCCTTTTTATTTTCTTTTCAAACCCCTCTGACAGTTTCTAAACTCAGCTTTGTTACAGGCCTGGGGTGAGGCTGATGGACACCCTGGGCTGGTGCTGTGTGAGCCCCTGTGTGCCCAGGCCTTTCTCACCTGGGTTGCAGGGTTAGGACCTGGCTCCAGGCTCCAAAACCCTTCCCCTGTGTGGGGCTGCAGTTTTCCACCTGGAAAGCAGGAGAATCATCCCACCACATTTCCTCCAGGAACGGCATCTGCCAGGAGACCCCACCTCCCCCCTGTAAGTGCTTTGAAATGATCCCTTTGTGTGCCCTCCCAGGGCTGTCCTGCCAGCTGGGAGGCTCAGGACTGAATCAGGAAATTAAATGGAGTCGCTGAAACTTGTCCCTGCTCGCCCCAGGGGGTTTGCCAGGTAACCCTGGTGCCTGGTTAGGTAGGGTTAGGTAGAACTTTTAACTCCACATTTGCAGTTTCACTTTTGGCTGAGCTCTGGCCATGGTCGTGCTGAGTCCTGACGCTGGAGCCAGCTTGGTGCTGGGTTCAGTGTGACCCTGGGCCCAGAGTGGACAGGGGGGTCTGTTACCCCTGGGCTGCTCTGGGACGTTTTGTAACACCTCAAAAACCAGCATTATGGGGTGGATGGCTGCTCCTGCCCATGCAGCCCTTGTGGGGCTGTGGGGGGCTGGAGACCCTCACTGCCCCACTCCCACTGGTGCTTTGGGTGGCTCACATCTAGGGGCTGTTCCTCCTCTCTTGGCTTTGGGGCTTCAGCCCCTGGAAGCTGCTGCAGGCAAAGCAAAGAGGGTAATGCTAGCAGGAAGGAGGGCTTGAAAGCCCTTGATCCTTTAGTCACCACCCCCTCAGCCCGACAAGTGCTGGCCCACACAGGGAGGGTCCAGAGTGACCCTCAAGGAGGGCTTGAGCCCAAGTGCAGCTTTTCCTCCCCAGGGAGGACGGTGTACCCTGGCACCGTGCCCCCACAGAAGGTCCTGCTCAGCTTTTGCTGTGGGGAATCCTCCCCATGGTGTCCCACCCCCCTGTCCCAGCTCTGCACCCCACTTCCTTCCTCACACATTTCCTCCACCACCACCTCCCTTTTCTCACCTCCTGCCCCCCCAGGGGTACCAGAGCCTCTGGACCCATGGCACCGGTGTCACCAGCTGGGCACGGTGACCTGCTCGTGGCGTGGGGTGGGCAGTGAAGCCCCGCTGAGCGGCCGTGGAGCTCACGGCTGTGTCCAGCATCATTTCTGAACTGGAGACCTCTGGAGCAAAGGTCTGCCTGACAACGAGTGATGCAAGGGCCAGCAGCCAATAGGACTTTTTTCTTGGCTCCCCCCCCCGGGTGTCAGGGCGGGGTGGGGACCCGAGGGTATTTCCAGAAGCCTCCCTCGGGGTGCTCATTGTCTTCGGGGAGCCCAGCGGAGCCATGGCTGAGGAGCAGCGGGACCTCATCTCTGACCGCGGCAGCGGCGTGCTCAGTGTTGGGGACACCCAGAGGTGCCACTGCTGGGGACACGGGGATGGGGCGCACGGGGAGGGCGAAGTGGGCGCAGTGGGGACGTGGAGCGGGGGGGTATTGCGTGGTTGTGGGATGGACGGGGATACAGTCGGGTCAAGGGGGCACAGAGTGACTATGGGGCAGGAGATGGGGCGCTTGCTGTGGGAATGGGGCACTGTGGAGCTAAGAGGGCCGTGGAAGGGTCTGCGAGGCAAGGCAGGGGCACGGGGTGTCTGTGGGGCGGGGGGAGCTGGGTGGCTGTGGATGGGAGGCCTGGGGCGGCAGGGGGAGGGGAACACGGGGCGGCTGTGGGATGGGGGCAGTTGGGTGGCTGTGGGATTGGGAGGGCACGGGTGGCAGCGGGATGAAAGGGGTCACCGCGCTGCTGGGCCGCCGGGGACAAGGCATGGCGGTGGGGCGGGCAGCTCACAGGGTGGGGCATGGAGCCATGGCTTGAAGCTTTGTGGGAAAGGGGCTGTGGGACAGGCAGGATGACGACGTGACCGTGGGGCAGGAGCAGACCCTAGACCCAAATGGCTTCATGGGGCTGCCCCCCATGTCCCAGCTCGTCCCTACGTCCCAACCCCCGCAGGGGGGACACCCCGCCCAAAACTTGCAGCCAATCGGAAGGCCTGGAGCTCTGACGTCATCAGTCACCAGGCAGACGCCCGCGCCGCGCGTCCCGTTCGGGACTTGTCGCTCGGCCGGGGACACTCCGCTCCTCCCGGGCCGGGGGTGACCCTGGGCACCGCTGCACCCCGGC